TTACTTACTAATGGCAATTTTGGCAGGAAAAAAATAATAATAATAATTAATACATACCTAATATATATAAACATTAATAATTAATATAATATTTTTTTTTTCATGTCACAACAAAACAAAAAACCGATAAATTTTTAAGAAAAAAAAAAAATAATAAAACATATTTTTGGTTTTTAATTTGTAATGTTATATATATATTTTCGCAAATTTTCATATATAAAATTAATATTAATATTTGCAACATAGTAAAATTTTCTTTTCCTCTGTTCAAAATCAAAATCATTGAGTATTTGATATTAATTTAAAATCAAAGATCCTTTTAATGAACTTGAAACAAATGAACCACCAAACTTATTGAATCAACTTCAATGCCAATTTAAAAGTGTAACATTAAAGTTATCAATAAAATGTTAAAATATTACTTCTAAATGTGCGAATGATGATAATATGATGATGTATTATTATTGTTGTTGTTATTAGCAGTGCTATTGCTAGTACCAGATGTATTGGAAGCGTTAGCAAATGTAGATGCAAAACCTGGAAGTCTTTCGCTGCTACTGTTACTACCATTACCACTATGGTTATGAATTGGGCTAATAGATTGATTGTTATGAGATGAAGATGGACGATAATAATCTATTACATTATTACGAGTATAATAATCATGTTGAGGTTGGTTTTGGTTTGTTGTAGCAGTTGTAGATGCTATTTTAATAATATTTTCTGAAGAACTGGAAGAACTACTTGAACGTCTTGAATCCAATGCTACACCATTATTAACATCATCATTAGTTACATCATCGTGATTAACGTTGTTATTATTATTAGTGATATCATCATCTTCACTAATAATAAGGTCATCTTCATTAATATCACCTTCCTCAATTATTTCTTCGTCGATATTATCATCATCAAGTTGTTGAATTTTATTATTTTTATTTTCTCCATTTTCATCGATAATACAATCTTCTTCATCCTCTTCACCATCTTTATGATTATTACTGCCGTTACTGCTGTTGTTATTTGAACCTCTTGACTTACTACGCCAGCTCTGACGTTTATTTTGGAACCAAATTTGTACGGTACGAGGAGACATACCAAGTTGTTTACCTAATTGAATACGTAGTTCAGTTGAAGGGAAAAAAGTGTGTTGAAACACTTGATTCAATACTTTAAGTTGATTTGCATTTGCACGTTTTCGTTTAGCTTTTAACATGGTAGCAGCACTGCTTTGATGATCCAAATAAGCAACAGTTGCGGCAAGATGGTGATGGTGGTGGTGAGGATGAGGGTGGTGGGGGTGGTGGGGGTGATGAGGATGTTGATTCTGTGGTATTGGAAGGTGATGATGAGTTATTGGAGGAGTGGGATAAGGCACAATAGTATTATTATTGTTGTTAGTGTTAATATTAGTATTATTAGCATTGGCAGTATTTGTAGAAAGAGGACTGCGAAGCATATATTGATTATTATTACTATTATTGATGATGTTGTTATTTGGACTAATTGGACTAATTGGACTAATTTGATTATATCTATTGTTAATATTATCATCTCTATTGTAGGTAAAATGATTATGATGATGATGATTTCCATTATTTAAATTATTAGGATAACTTGGCAAATCAGAATGACGTCTTTGATCAAGAGAAGAGATGATACGTGAAGATGAAGATGACGATTGAGAATAGACAGGATGATTAACATAAGGAGAATAACGTGTATGAGCAACATCAAAAGAAGATCTACGTATGAATTGATTATTATTGTTGCGGTGGTGATGATAGTTTTGTTGAAAATAATTGTGATGGTGATGACTAGCACTTCCCAAACCAATATTAGTAATTAAAGGAAGAGATTGTGATTGAATTAGACGAGAAGAAGTGTTATTAATTATTGATGATGGTAATAATGATTTATTAGGTGAGGCGACAGTTGCAGTAGTGGTAATGGGTGTAGTAACAGCAGTTGAAGCAAAAGATGATGGCGATGTTGTAGGAGAAGTAGTGGTAGAGGTGGATGAAAAGGATGATGGTGGCGATGATGATGATGATGATGATGATGATGATGATGATGATGATGATGATGATGAATTGATATTATTTAAGATTTCGTTATTGTTGTTATTTTTTCATGTTCTTTTTGTATCGTGAAATTGATTTTCATTCTTAAATAATTGCACGAAAAATATTATTTGAGGGGGTTGATATTATTATATATATATATACATACTATTATTACTTATTTTAATTTTAGTTTATTTTTTATTTAAAGAGATGAACTTTAATTGATTGATCTGCGTTGATTTTATTTTTAAGACCCAAATTATTAATAATAATAATAAACAGGTAAAATAATAAATATTTGTTATATGGTAATGTACGCACACGTATGTCATGATTAAAATTAATTATTATTAAGTGCGAATCTTTTTAACTAACATACATACATACACTCGCACACATACATTCGCACACACACACACACACACACAAATAAAAATATTTATGAAACAATTTGTTTATCTCCAATTATGGTTATCTTTCACGAGATTTTAATTAATTAATATTGTTTTTAAAAATTTTTTAAATATTCGATCATCAATCATCATCTACAACTACACACCAACCAGGGTTAAAACCGGAAATTTTATTAAAAATTTTTTTTTGTTTATTATTATTAATTAATATTATATCTCTGCATAAAGATATGATGGATATCTTCCTATATATGTATATCTATCTCTCTTTCTCTGCAAGTTTTTGATGTTTTTAGCAAGTATTATTATAGATATATTTCTTTTTAGGGGAAACATTAAATATTGTAAATAAAAAAAATGATAAATAACTATTACATAATATTTTAATTGATAGCCTTAATTACTAATATCAAGTCAAAACTTTGATCTGTATAATAATCATATGTGACGATGAGATTTGTTATTTGGTTTTAAGCAAACTCTTGATTGATTCGCTGATTAATTAAGAGTTGTTAATTGAATTATTGATATTTGATAAATTAAAAAAATTTTTTTTTCGATTTCAGCATGAAAATACAGGAAGGAAACATTTGATTATTTTCCCAAAATATGTAAAGTTTCGATGAAAATTGAAGGAAATTAATCCCTGATAATCTTTTTTTCAATCAATCAATCAACAATCAAAATAAAAAAATCTGGTTCATCGTCCATCATTTAATCGATTGTTTTACTGATTATAATCACAATGATCAATTAATTAACTAGTTGACTGCCAACCGCCAACAGCTAATATATCTCATAATTTCTTTGAAATATATTTTTATAAAAATATTTATTTATTTTTTTAAAATATTTTGTCACATTTTTGTGTACAATTGATTTTTGTTTGGATGAAATCAATATAAATTAAATTTAATTAATTTATGAAAATTAAGAAATTAAATGACACATTATTATATATTATTTAAAGTTTTAATAATATATTAATCAGTTATAAAACAAATTTAATTTAATTTTTTCAATGAATTGATTGATTATTTAGGAATTTGTTATAAACAACTAATTAATTAATTAATTAATTAATCAATTAATTAAATATAAAAAATAATTTTTAAAGTTAAATTAAAATTAAAAATTTTTTTATATATTGTAAATAATTTTTCCCTTGGCTTTAAATATTTTTAACTGTTTAAATTACGTAAATTATTGTTTCTAATTGGTGTATTTTTAAGGATTTTCATGAATGAAAAAAAAAAAGTGGGTTGGTTTGATAGCTAGTGGTTTAGCTCAGATTCGGCATCAGATGGGTTTTTTTTTATACAATAATAATATATAATTAAAATATTTTAAATAATTTTTATTACAATATATTAATTAATATGTAATATGTAGATTAATATTTAAAATTTTCATTGTTTTTTTTTTATTTTAAAAATGTCGGGCATATAGACACATTGTACATAACGGGAATATGTCACACGTGGATAAATATCACGCCAGAAGATATATGCTAATTTTAGAAATGCCCTTATTGTTTATTAAAAAAAGTCATAAAATTAAATTTACCTTTAATTCAAAGAACTTTAAAAGTATATGCAATCTTCCTCATTTGCTGTGGCTCATCATCATCACAAACTTCTTAATTCCGGGACGAAAGCCCACAAAACTGGCGCTGACTACTCCATTTTACCAGAAGAGTTTTAAAGAAGATGTAACTTCATCTTCTTCGTCTTCTCCTCCTAATCAAATCTCCGCGGAAGCTATTAAAATCAGACTTTGACTAATTCGGAGGAAATATTGATTGTTAGACATATATAACAAATGCAGTCAAAAATAAAAATAAACCATGTTTACATGAAAATTATATCCGTTGACTATAATATTTAAATAGCATCTTGATATCCCTGCCAGTGTTAGAGAGACGGCAATGGTTGACTATTCAAAAATTATAATCTATGTTGCTGCAAAAAAAAGAAGTTGAAGCTTCTAAAAAAGGAAACACTGTTTCCTTTATAGGTAAAATCTTCCAGTTCCACAACAAGAGTAAACAGCGAAATTATATATCGTTTATGTTTGCATCGTGATATAATCAGTCCAAAATGAAGGGATTCTATTCATGATAAGGTGAACATAAAAGATATAAGCTCCATTGATGCATGCCCCGGATCCACAAGAACGACATCGAAAGTAAATTGCAAAATTGTTATCCAAAAACCGTCATGTTGCTTTACTCTCCGAGTTTAAATCATAAGACATGGTTCAACACGAGTTTAAAAATATACAATCTAAATCGCAAGATAGATATTGGCCTAGTCACATTACCATTTTGTCAATATTTGCTCCGCAAGTAGTGTCATCGGTGCAAAAAGTTCGCCCGCACTGTGGATGTTGTGGGACAATCAACAAAATCTGGTCTTTGGACCGACGTCTTTGCAATTCCACTATGTAAATATACATGCTTTTAAAGTATGTTACGGAAACACAACAAAAGTCACTCGTGAGATTAAGGCTTACACCTGAGACATCTTATTGTAAGCTAGCTGTCTGCATAGACATAGAACTTGTATTTAGTTCTGGAAATGTTAGTAATATTATTTTTTTTTCAAATTAAATTTTGATATTGTCTGCCTTTTTGCAGTGTAATATAAATTTCTTAGAAAGAAAATCTGTACGAAAAAAATAGTCATTAGTTTGCAAGCTCAGAATTTGATCCATTGAAATGCAATTTTACAGCCACCTTAATTGCGTGTTCGCCAAAAATACTTCTGATTCTGACAGATATTATCTAAACTATTCAGGATAAACCTTATTTTTTGATAAAAATGTGTTATAATGGAGCAGTGTGCATTCGTAAACTTGAAGGTTAAAATTTTTTATAATCTAGAATTTTATTTTCACTTCGTACCACGCATCTGGTCGCGTCCAAATTTAGTACACACTTTATTATACAAAGTGTACTTACCGCATTATACAAAATGGAAAAATATCTTATATGTATTGTTTAGATTCGAACTGAATAGATATAACATTTTGTCACATTAGATTAGTTGGTATGATGCGTCATAAAAAATGTGATAGAAAGCTTATAACGCCCCTTTTTGAAAAATTTGCTAAAGAAAAATTTTATTTATATCAATTTCGAGAATTCCATACTAATGAATATATATATAGAAATTAAAGGAAATTATAAGAGGTCAAAATAAATCGGAATGGCAATATAAAGAATCTCTTTATACACAAACTACAGTGCAGAAGGCCTATAATGGGAACTTAGAAAAATTGAAATATCATGTGATCCACACATCAGATTTTTAAA